GCTTGCATTCTGCCTTTGAGGTCCCGGGTTCGATCCTTAATTGAGTCGATGGATTCGCACTGCTGATGAGACCCAAACAGCTCAAAACAGCTATCCATTGCTTCCAAGCTTTTCGGTTAACGTTTCATTTGCCTATATACGAAAAATTCACCTTTGAAATTGGATCAAACCCTCCGTTACCAATCTGAGACTGATATACTTCTACAGGTCTGTAAGAACCTCATCCTGATAACAACTGTCATGAACTTGCTGTGACATGTAATTTCTTTTGATACCGAACACCGTGTATGGCTCTTGAAAACCATCTTTCTTTCGTGATCTAGAGTCTAGGATGTTTACGTAATTTGACAGTTCATTCCTCACAATGATGATACTGTTGACCGCAATTTGCTAACACAAATAGAGGATTCACCGCACAAAGTAATCTTCGCTAAGATTTTGGACAGTTCTAATTTTATGAGATGATTCCGTGTCTTAACCACATACGCGTATGTACATGACATGAAGTTTTATCTCATCAATCCAGAAAGAAGACAAATTTCGCGAATCGTGAACATTTCGTTTAATCTCCCTAACTGCAGGTAGGCAGATAATTATTAAGTGAGCGACTGAGTAGATTAAACAAAATGATAATTTCTCGTAACACCTGCCTTCTTTCTTTATTGTTGGAGTTGATAAAGGGGATTCATTGTTTAAAAGTTTTATCTGTTTGGGCATAGTTATCCAACTACCAGATTTAATGTTATTGTCGCTATCTAACGTTTTTATGTTGCCAACGTGAAAGCTTAAATTTTATATTCATTTGAAGGCTAGAAAAAGCACATTAGATGACTAACCTACTCCAAACAGATATTTCACGTTGAATAGACTATTAAAAATATACCTCCAGTCTACCCAGATTTTAACGAAAGTACTACCCCGGTCGAGAAAGGGACATCTGAAAACTAGCTTTTCATCTCGACGAGCAGGCGGTAATCAGACAAACCCTGCATCACCCAAATCATTCAATCCATCAATCAAATCTCCTAGACAAATTTTTATTCCATAAACCTAACAGCTTTCTAATTACCTGTCTATTTGACATCTCTAATCTTTCATGCAATGTAAGATAAAGCAAAACGATAAAAATAGAACAGTATAATTTCAGTTTGCAATCTTCCTTACATCAAAATAGCTAATACTCAAATGTTCAAGTTGCATTAGGTCCATCAGTATCTACCACCATCAACGAAACAAAAACAGCTTATTGAAATCACTTATTCTTCTTTCGTTGTAAGTGGCCGAGTTAGGAAGGAATAAATACTTTTAATCAAAAGTTAGTTTTAGGAACATATGTTTTTAAATAAAATGATGCATTTTACAAACGAAATAATGAATAGATCACACTGTGCATTGCACGACGTTATTCAGTATAAGAGGAAAAACCACCTTCCATAATGCATCGTCCGGGTTTCATGAAAATAGCACAATAAAACGGTAACAAACAGCTTTGTTTTCCTGTTGTTTTAGTCCTTTTGATCCACCATATTTGATTCGTCCCCAACTGTGTAAGTTTGACCGTATTTGGATACTGTATCACTCCTCATGGAATTGACTATTGACAACCCAAACTCTTCCAAAAGAATGGTTTTGAAGAATATTGATAGTACAGGGGGAGTGTCTCCGTTTTCGACTGGTTTAAAATATTTATCCTATCCTGAACTTTACCCAAATTTATGCCCAAGATTAGAAGCTCACATTCAGTATATACTCCAGCAAACAGCTGTTTAAATGAAGCGTATTGCCCGTTTCCAATCAGCGCAAGTTTCTTCATTTCATTACAACCCGAATGGCAGCCCCGTTTAAAGAGTACGTCAATTTGGTAGCAAGGCCCGGTGTTTGTGCACACAGACAGACCGATTTCCAATTACCGAATGTGGCAGAAAAACTAATCTCGCACAGTTTGCAGCCATTTGGACTTAAGGGACACGCTATGTAATGAAATTTCGTTTAAACCCATCCGAACAACCAAGTGTGTATGCTTGTGTGTGTGTGAATGTTTCTGACAGGCGTAAGTTGATTGCACACCAATGTATTCTGGTATTTTCATCACCGAGATTGTCTCCACACGGATGATAGATGATGCGGCGAATGCCACCGATCCGATTCACCGGGCTGTTTCATGACCATCAGCCTGAGAGTCTCCAGATTAATCAATTGGTTTGCAGCCTTGCTTGTTCAGAAAGCATTGGTGCGTTCGATGTGGGAACGGGTTTTCGCATATGCATCCTAATATATCTCGTTTTAAGTAACGAGTTATACACTATCTAGACCATCTTGACAACTGTACTTTTAAATTTCATTCCGCTACCTATTAACTATTATGTCAACCAGTACCCAATAATTCAGAGTGCTCTGGCACTCGACTAAAATTTGTACAGTTTTCGAGAATGATTTTTCTAGATACACAGGGAACTTTATAAGGTAAGCCATAGTGAATATGAGCTCAACAACTCTGAAGATATTAATCGGATTCTCTAGGATAGACAGTTTGCTACTTTTCTCTAACCCTTCACTTTTTGACGGGAACTACGTTAAAAGCGATTGACGGCTGCTTGTGCAACCAAAAGAAACATCACGTCAGTGATCTGACAATTTTGGTCACATTGGAAAAAGGACATTTCAATTGGCATGCTTCGGTCAAGGGAATTCTGGCCATACACTCATGACTAATCATTTTTTATATCTATTATTCCCAAGTGATGTAATTAAATGGTAAGTGCTTTGAAGCCCGGCTTTCCATATAAACTAGTAACCACATTTAGGGTTTTGCTAGTAAGTGAAGAATCTGCAGGGTTCACATTCCAGTGGGCGTTAATGCACCCCCTTCTGTTTCTATTTATTTAGGCTTCTGTGCCCGTTTTAAATGAATCCATGTTGATAATCTATTCTGATGACGTTATCTTCGGCTCACCCTATCCCAACGGATGTGCCATGCCGACCATACAGCTTGGTATTTCACAACTTAAGGATGGTCTCCTGCACACAGCATTTCTTTGAATAAATCTAAATGAGTTGATACGTTACTTCAACCATGTTAAAAGTGAGATAATCCATCATATCCTCGTCCAACTTATCAAAGCTTGTGAAACCTCTGAAAACCTGGTGTGCTTATTCTTCTCTTCAATATTCACTGGGCATTTACCTGCTGAATTCGAACCAGATTGGTGTAAAAATGGATTTCTTAACGTAACGAGTAGACAGTTTTCTGAGAGTTCTACGACAAATCGGTTAAACAGTTGACTGAAAATTAAACCAGTGAATAATAGTGTTCTTAGAGGAAAGCACGAGAGATTCGTAAGGACAAAGCGAAATGTATTATTTGCAAAACTATCAAATAGCATCATGATTACTTCGGTTACACAACATTTAAGCACAATATTTATCTGTCATTAAATCCATTAAATAACCATTTACTGGGATGTTATCATTATTCACGTATCCTTTCCATGACGCTTTTCCTGTTCATTATTTGCTTCATTGGCACTTTTACCTATTCACTATGAACGCTTGATTGGTGACTGATTAAATGATCTGTATGAACCTCTAAGAATCTGATCACACATAAAATGTTGGTCAAGCGGATAGAACAAATGACGCTTTTGAAAAG